CATCCAGTCCATACTACTACTACGGAATGCTACCTACAAGGTTCATGCGTCACATTTGTGTTTGAAATCAATTTCATTTCATTTCAAGAATCGATATTCAATAATTGATTCCGTGGGAAATAGATACAGTCGTCATCACATTGCATATCTCAAGCCCCCATCCCAGCATACCAGCCGAACTCGGTCATCCAATGACATAGTTTACCAGCGGCTGAAGGCTTCGTGGCGCTGGTAGCGCGAGGGGTCGTACTCATCAGCACCGTGGCCCTGGACGTAGTGCTCGTCGTACATCTGGTGAGCATTCTTCTTGGCGTGCTCGTGGGCCTTGATCTTGTCGACCTGGTCCATGCCCTTGGTCTCGGCGAGCTTGTCGACCTCGGCGCCAACAATGCCGGCGAGGGCCTCCTTGGCGAAGGCGTGGCTGACGGGCTTGCCTATCGGTGGGAGAGAACATGTCAGCGAAGAACTAATGACTGGGGTTTTGTTCGGGATGGAAGCAAATCTTCCAAGGCTAACACATACCTTCCTTGCGCTGGTGGTCCTCCCAGGCCTTCATACCGGCGAAAGAAGCGGCACCGGCAATGAGCTCGTGAGAAAGGTGGCTCTCGTGGCGGCCCTCCTGGACGTCACGGTGAGCGTTCTCGGATTCACCTGCAGGAAACTACTGGTCAGCCATTGACTTCATTTTGTTCTCGACCAGCCTTCCGACTTGATACGAGCAGCGAGGCACGTCCAGAGACGGAAAGGTCTCGTGATGAACGGCACGAGGGATAGGGAAGAAGAAAGCAAAACATACCCCAGCCCCAAGCCATGATGTATGATATGTGAGGGTTTTGGAAAAAAAAAAAAAAAAGTTTTGAAAAGTGAAGAGAGAGAGGATAGATTTGTGAGGAGTGTGAGAGAGTTATTGATAATGGAAAAGACGTCGAGAAGAGGGGAGTGAGAGGCTCATTATATCCTCAGTCCTGAGGAGAGAGTCCCAAGAGGGGTGCTCAAACGGCAACCTCAGGCCCCTCAAGCTATCGTTGCCCCTCCATACGCTTCTTTTGGCCCCACCGTCTATTCATTTGGTGGAATCGTCCGTAGGACCTCCTGGGTAACTGCGGTGCTAGCCTACCGGATTATGCCCACCGACTCTACGAGTGGATCGTCGGAAAAGCAGATTGAGTGGCCATCGTCACTTGGAGACTGCCACGTTACCCAAAGAAGCTCCGGACAGACGGGAGACCTTCGCAAAAGTGATCGCCCATTGGAAGGGTTTGGATACGGCGATGAGTCTCCAGCCGCGGCATCACCGATGAGGTAAAGCCCCAGGAGGATTAGCTTTATCGGCCGCCACTCGCTTCGTTGGATCCAATACGCGTTGTCACAGCCACGAGGCGAGGGGGAAGGAGGGGAAGGAGGCTTGAAACCGAGGATGCATCATCACATCATGACGGGGAATTAAGGACGTCACAGCGCTACCCCGTACGGTGTATGTGTAGACAGTTAGACAGCGTAGTAACGTAGTACGGATTACTGCATGGCTTGCCCGTCGTACACCGTAAAGGGAGCCCGGGAAATGAGCTCAGATGATCGGTCTCTAGGCGCCGTATTGTGTAATAGTTTCGAGATTTGCCCTATTAATTGGCTCAATAGGGTGGGCGCTGATCGGAAGTACGTGTCCCATAATCATAATAATAATCAACGCAGGAGACTAGCAGCACTGTTGATCCGCTGGGATCCGCCGATAGGCGAATGGGGCGCTCAGCCTTACTCCATTTTGCCCGGTGGATAAACACGGCGCAGCAATGAGTGGACAACGCCGATTCAGCCACAATGCTCGGGTCCCAACTGTGGTCAATTGTGGTGTGACGAGCCGACTCAACCGAGCCACTTGGTCGCCAAGCTTCTCTTGTCCAAGGCTTGTCTACCGCCCTATAGCCCTACAGTCACTCATGCGAATTTCATGCGAATCACAGGCGTATCAGGGATCGGACGCAGGAATCGACCTCGGATGGGAGAATGCGTAATGATAGTCAGGAGAGCCAGACCGTATGTTGGAGCAACGAGGACGCAGTCAGAGTCACTCTGGTCCCGGAGGGGATCTGTTTCATTTCCCTGGGCCAATGCTTATTCCGATCCTATTTTGGTTCGCCAAGTGGAGAGCGACATCGGATTTGTTTGGCTCTGGGCCCCTGAAACCCCCGCCGCGAGGACCGACGAAAGTCTGACAAAGTCAGAAAGTCAATAATGACAATACCGGTACCTGTCCATAAGGTAAGTGGTGATAGTGGCGGTGAGCAGCGTTCAGGCAGCCATTTTCCCTTCTGGGGGAGGCGATGTGTGGCTGAAGCTGCGGTGGAGCAGTCCCTACTCCGTAGTCCTATGTGCTGCGGACTCTCTCGTCTGTACACCGCAGCCCGTAACTCTCTTCCCCCATCTGCATGCTGTAAGGTCCGAGGGTGGATATCTGAGTCTGACAGATCGAGTAACCCTCTGCATCTTCCGTCCCTTCTTCTACCCACTTGGGTTAGATCGACGGACTAAAGGAGGCATTTATGACATAGCATTTCTATGTATATCTTTGCGTGGGGACCAAGGGGTGCATTGCATTGCATCGTCACGGATCCATCCTTCGTATGCGACATGGCCCAATCTAGATGGTTTCGGGTGAAATATATCCGACGGTCACCGGCCTGGTTCCGGACTCCCTACGTAATATAGTCTGCAATCAAACGAAGACATCGTTGATAGAGACGATTCGCCGTTCAACCCCTTGATGGCGTATGTGCAGCTCTATCTTCTCTCGATGTATCCAGGTGTCATTGTACATCATAGAGATGCATTAGCCTGCAGTCCCCTTGTACAACCTTAACCATCGGAGTGCCGCAGCTGCATCCTACTCTAACACTGATATTATGCATGCAGTAATGCGTACAGCGTCATAAGGTCTGTTGTTATGACTGCAGATTGTCATTAAGCTGTGTCCTGTACAAATCTCGGGAACGTCGATTGTTCATCCGGTTTTACGGCGGCACAAAACACAATGGAATAATGTCATCGTTGATATACCAACCAAGCGGCGATGCATTAGTCTCTCTGCATGTGTTGTTGATACTATTGTTTCATGCATCTTGGGTCGTCATCAACGCGACTGGTTGCCATGATAATAACCCCAAGTATCAGGGAATGGGCCTGCTTCAATCTTCAGCTACCGTACGCATCATGGTCTGGACCAAACATGCAGATGCCATGCTAGTATGTCGCTGCGCCATCTATATGTAGCTGTCTTGATTGTGGCCCAGTTTGATTGTTGGCGATTCTGTGAAACACCCCGACGGACGGGTAAATATGCGGAAGTGATGATCAGCATTGCCATACAACGGAGTTGAGCAATTTGTTTAGGAGCAATTGTCTCGCCAAGCACCACGGAGGCTTTCCTGAGAAGATTGTAGCAGTGCTGCTCATTATACTGTGCAAGGTAGCTCGGGATATCCAACCGAGATACGTAGCTTTGCAAAGAAACCAGGATTATGCCCAGAATATGTCTTTATAGTGATACTAGGGAAAACAAGCTAGGTTAGCTAGTTGGTTATAATTGATGCCATGAGCAACATTCAGGTCAAAACTGTTGTGTTTGCTAGGCAAGTACCTCGACCTGGACCGCCATCATTCACACAGCTGAAGAATATATAGTTATTACTCCGTACTCCGTGAGCTATGCCGCGCAATATACCGTCAACATTGGGAGAAAGATCATGCTGTTTTGTGCGATGTACAAGATATTTCGTCTATGATAAATTACCATCTCATTGAAACCTGAAAATGATGGAGAATGAAGAGAGAACAGGAAGAGAGAGAGAGCAGCTGGAAGCGATCTAACCCAAGTAGGAAGGCCCCCCCCATCAAATTCCGTCATCGTCAAATTTATGAATATCCTTACTGAATTACTTCCTCAACGAGAGAGCTCCTCGAGATACGCCTGAATTGGCCCTCTCATAACTGTCCAATTGACCTCAAACACAATCCATCAATAACTCTTTCTTCTCTCTTACCTACTACCTACTACCTACCCTCCACCACACCCACCAAATCACCCCGCTCGATCGATGCTCCTTCTACACCATCTACAATAATGCCCACCAAAACCCCCACGCAATCCGACTTCCCCTCGCACCTCACCGTAACCCTCACCCCTCCTCCTCCGTCGTCATCCGCATCCTTAACCTCGCGACCACCTCCCAACATCCTAATCCTCCTCCACGGCCTCGGCGACTCCGCCCCCGCATTCACCTCCTTCGCGCGCGCCCTGAACCTTCCCGAAACCCTCATCGTGACGCTCCAAGCCCCGAACCGCCTGCCGCTCGACCTACCAGGCTTCCACTGGGGTGATGACATCTCGTTCGACACGAGCACGGGCGGACTGGACATGGACGCCGGGTTTGCGGGGGCCACGAATGTCCTGGTGAACGAGGTGCTAAGGGACACGCTGCTAAGGAAATGTGGGTACCGGGCGCGCGAGATCCTGCTGTTGGGGTTCGGGCAAGGCGGAATGCTGGGACTGCTTGGGGTGAGGGAGTTTGCGAAGACGCAACAAGGGCAAGGGGATGGGGATGGGTCGGCGTTGGCGGGGGTGATTGTGATTGGGGCGCCCTATCCGCTCTCGGGGAGTACGGTGGGTGAGAAGAACCGGACGCCTGTCTTGTTGGTTGCTGGGAGGGAGTCGGCGGCTGTGACGGACGGGGCGGTACGCAGGACGAAACAGGTGTTTGAGTTTGTGGAGGTGCAGCGGTATGCGCGCCGGGATGATGGCATGCCGAGGAATCGCGACGAGATGATGCCCGTGATGCAGTTCTTTGCGAGGAGGTTGAGAAGCTGGCAGGGTGTTCCGGAGGGGAGCGTGGAGATTAGTTAATTTGATGGGGTCGATCGGGTTATGGTATGACAAGTGTGGTATATTGTACAGTTTACACATGGGCATTGATCTAACGCTCATATATCTATGGGAGTTTGGGTTACTATTTCACATCCTCGAGCGCTTTCCTCGCCCGCTCGACGGTTTCTCTGGCATGGGTCTCGGACGCTTCGTCGACGCGTCGTCCGCCTTCGTGCACCAGCGTGCGGAGCTGCTCCTCTGTCTCCAGGAGCGCGGTGCGACCGTCCTCGCGCACTTCGTTCTCCCAGAATTCTCGCGCAGAGTCCCATTTGCGCTGCTGCCGTCGGAGAGAGTAGATCAATCCCACTGCCGCCAGGGTGCAGGTTTCGTAAACCGACGTAGACGGGAAGGAGACGTATGTGAGAGCGGAGAGGACCGAGCTTAGCGACGTGGTGGTGATGCTGAAAGCCACAAGTCCCTGGGCCATCGCCTGCAGAGAGGGCACTTTAATCTCCAGCAGCTGGTTCCGGCTGGTGGAGATCTGCGTTGGCCACGGCACATCATTCGTGGGAGGAGTCTGCGAGTCGACCACACCGGCAGTGGCTTCATCCTTTGGCTTTTCTGTGTCTGGTTGGGGTGCAGCGATCTGCTTGGTTTCTAGCAGGGATTCGTCCAGCAGGCCGGCCTGCTGGAATTTGCCCGCGGTCCAGATGACCTCCTTTTCTGCACGACGCAGGTACTTCTTCTCCAGGATCTCGGCCGTGATCATGCCGACGTCGTCAACATGCCAGAAGAGCTTCCACCACGCAAGGTCTTTCCACTGCTTGCTGGCAAAACCCTCTTCCAGCGAACTCCGTAGCTCGGAGTGTGCTTTCTCCGCCCACTCGGTCACCGACCGATTCATTGTCCCTCGCACCAAGTCGGAAACCGACCCTTCTTGCTGCTCCCGGGCCCGTTTCGCTTGTTCTGCATCCACGCCCGTCTCTGCGGCACCGACAAGCGATGTGATCAGCGACCTCAACGAGGGGTCGAGAATATCTTGATCGGCGCGCAGCGACGCCAGCCAGTCCACGACCGGCTGGACTCCGCTGCCGTTCCAGCCCCGCTCATAAAGCGAGGCATTCTGTACGGATTCGCGAAGTTTCGCCAGCGCCTCGTCTGCCTGGTCGATGTCCACAAAGGCGATGCGGTCATTGTGCTTTTCGGGATCGCTAGCCGCCAGCTCGATGGCGCCGTAAACCGACTCGGTCTCCTTTTTCAGGTCCGATCGAGCGACCAGGTTACTGTATGCAAGTAGACCGTCCACGCCGCGGCCACACACGATGGCTCGGTGTACTGGATATCGCACCACGTTATGGCGACCGGAATGCGAGGTCTGGATGGTCACCGTGGGCACTAGAAACGTTTCCGCCGTGAACTGGGCCCCGGGCATTTCCGTGTTCGCGCCGAGGCTTGAGACCAGGATTTCCAGGTTGCCTTTCTTGAGAATCGAGGAGGGGACCGAGATGGTGGGGAAAAGGTTATTCGGGATCGACTCGGATACTTCGCCATATCTGGCACTCGTCAGCATCATGCCGCGCGTGTTTTAAGATGAATGGATGGATGTAACATACCGAATAAGTAGTCCTCGTGACGTATCTGCTTCGTAGGCATCAAGCGCATCCTCCCAGTTCTCGCGAGGAGTCAACGGATCAGCCAGTAATAGGCGAACGAGTCGGCGCGCAGAGTTGGCATCATCCAAGCCCAGCACTAGAAGAACAAATGAGCTCCAGCCTCCATGTGAATAACAGATTGTAAAACCCACCAGCTACTCGAATAAGAGGTACCTCCGACTCTAACCCCCGCAACGCAAGTTGCAATCGACTCAGGTTGACCTGCTCCGTCGCAACATTTTGCACCTGGCTCAGAGCCTCGTACAGCTCTCTCAATCGAGGCGGCACCTGTCTGCTGGAAGGGATCACCGAGGAAGTGGTGGACGGACGAGGCGACGCTGCCCAGGACGAAGACTGACGATTTCCGTCGGAGATGTTGGCGGACCGACGCGTAGAAAGCGCTCCTCGTCGAAAGGTTGCGCAGGACGGGCAGGGGAGATCCGATGCGCTGTTCTGGACACGCCGTAAGCTCCTTTGTAAGGAGCCGCGCAATTTGGGAGGCATTGGCGACAGGATGTGAGAGGGACGGGGGTGGGAGACAGATGAAGGAGTTTAGGCGATTTGATCATTGCAGGGCGGAGAAGTCGGCGACGGGTCTTGGCGCTGGTTATTGCGGAATTGCGCGGCCGGAGACATTTACTTACTATACTGTTATAGAATAGAATTGGTTTGACGATGTATGTGTAAATATAAACAAGATATCAAAAATAAATCATAGCTACGGGTAATCGTGCATGTCATATAGCATAGGGTGTCGTCTGGTAAAGAGGCTTTCAATATATCAAGATATTTCATGGTGTATCGATTCATCATCTCATGTAGTCCAGGCGTCACAGACGCCTTTTATGCGGCAAATACAGTGATAGCCTCCCTGGTTCCTATCCTCAATACTCAATACAGTGTCATTTCATCCCGATTCACCCACAATGCATGGCCGTAGAGGGGGTAGGTCAATATGACTGCTCGGCTTCGGCTCTCTGTACAGCTGTAGAGTAACATCGCATTCCAAAATTCGGAGGTGAAGATACGTCGAGAAGCCAGAATTCGAACGCTAGGAAGATGCAAACTTGAGGCGGAGTTTTTCGGTGTCACTATCCTTATTAGTTTATGCTTCCCGACCCCCCTCCTTGGCAGCATCACGATGCCGACGGCTTCTACCAGAACCGGCCGACCTGTCAGGCATTAGTATTCATTCTTTCCTCCCTCGAGTTGGTAATATGGATACTCACATGCTGATCCGCCGAGCCACGGTGGCCAGTCCGGCGTCGTTGTCAGCCTCGCGCGTAGCACGCTCAAGCGCAGCGTTCCTCTCCTCCTCACTGCGCCTGTACACCTCTTCGGAGCTCGGAGGCAAGCGTTCGTTCTGCAAGTCGACCTTGCGGGCGTCCTCGAAGTTGGTGATGGCTTGCTTGATACCCTCGGCTCCAAGCATCAGAGTACCCGCGGGAAGACGACCTCCGGCCGCGGTCTTGAGTTCTGTGACTCGCTCCGATTCTTCTCGCAACACCTGGAAGACACGAGATATGCGACCGATGGCAAGAATCTTGTTCTTGATGGCCCGACGCTTGAACTCGCTGCTTTCCGTGTCCATGGGAAGAGGAGGCGAAGAGGGACCGGTGGCAGATGTAGGCGTATCGTCTTCGAGTTCTTCCTTGGAGCAGGTGTTGAGGATGGCCATGAGCATGTCGGTGATCTTCTCTCCGACGAAGGGAAGCGACCAGGTGAACACGTCCATGAAGTTCGGCAGCCAGTACGGATGCGGAGTGCAGTTGAATTGACGAATGTTCATCACGTTGTTCTCGTATTTCAGGACAGCGGCCTTGTTGTTGTACACGTCCAGGTAGTTCGGAGCGCTGAAAATCGTCATCACACTGGGGAAGCCGGTCGTTCTAGTCTTTCGGTACATGCGGTACCCGGCATCTTGGGCCTCGTGGGCTCGGATGATGGAAAGCAGGTTGTTCTTTTCCAGGAATGCGCAAGCGGCGGGGTAGGAGAAGAAATAGGAACAGCCCCGGACGCTGTTGTGAACGAAGTAGTCGCCGGTTTTCTCTTGTCCGAATTCTTCGAGAGGATCGGCCCAAAGGATGTCGCACATCAATCCGTGAGTCGGGGGTTCCCTGAAGCGGTCGATCTGGCATACAGGTCAGTCAACGATCAGCCACGAAATTCAGTACAGGTTTTGGGTCCACCCACCGCCTTGATATCTTCCAGGGTGTGTAGCTCGGGACTCAACCCTCCGTGGATACAGAGGAATTGCTTGTTCATGACTGCGGCCAGCGGCAGAGAGCAAAACGAATCGATGCAGGCTTCATAGATACGGTCGCTGTATTTATGTTTGCACTCCAGTTTGAAGGTGAAGTAGTCGGTCAAATGTCTGCACTCGTGGTTGCCCCGCAGCAGCCACAGGCTATTCGGGTACCAGATCTTCAAAGCCCACAGGTAAAGTACGCACTGCACGGGGTCAGATCGATGCTATCCGCCTCCCATCTCCCACGAGCCGACGAAACTCACCTCGATACTGAAATAGCCTCGATCCACATAGTCGCCTAGGAAGAGATACCGTGTCTCGGACGGGTCGCCGCCCACTTCGAAGAGCTTCATCAAATCATAGTATTGGCCGTGAACATCGCCACACACGGTGATGGGCGCATCCATCTCCAGCAGGTTGGGTTCCGATCGCAGGATCTGCGATCCTGCCTGTATAATCCATAGCGCCTGATCCTCCGTGAGACGACCTTCTCGATAAAAGTGCTGTTTAAGAAACTGAAGATTCGGCTTGGAGGGGTCTTCGGGGGACCAGAACTGTTCGTCCGACGGGGTGGTCAACGCCGGCGCTTGCACCTCTAGAACATCGCAGATCGGTTAGAAAACTCGACGGGGACGATCAAACACGAAAGGAAGTATTGAAACCAGGGCCTAGACCCGACTCTACCCCGTACCTTTAACTACTCGCTCCATGGTGGACACTTGAGTGCCATCTTCCATGGTATGTAGCGAGAAGTCGATCTCCGGGACCGGCTTCTTCTCCGTCACCGCACGTGCGATTGTCCGATCCATCTTGAGCGGAGTTGAGGGGGGTGAAGGCTCAGGTCTTGGATCTGCAGGGAAATCGCAAGAACACGGGGCCCCTATGTGGATGGGAACAAGCGCGAGAGAGGGAGAGAAAGGGGGGGAGGGATGGGGGATAAGGAGGGCGAATGGGTGAGCGAGCGAGAGAGGGACTTGACTGCGCGGAGACCAACTGCTACTAGCTTGTGGTGGTGGGGTTAAGCGCGGCGGGATTTCACACACGAGATGGGCGAACCGAAGAAATGAGACAAGACGTCAGTGTCAGACGGCGAGGAGACAAGTCACAAGCAGTCAGAAGATCGGATGGATGATCGAGACAGGAGGCTCCGACAGTTCTTGGGAGATCAGGCACCCTGGTTCTGGTCTTCCAGGGAAATATTTTGACGTTTAATTTAAAATTTCCCCTTTTAGGAGGCTCTGTCAAGTGGAGTGACCGAAAGAGAAAAGGTCGAAAAAAATAAGATCGGGACGTGGGTCGCGTGCAAAAGAGGACTACGGAGAATGTATGTAAGAACTAAGAACTAAGAACTAAGAAGTAATGTATGTACTAAACACTGAAGTTGGGCGAGAGAATCGGGGATCCGGAGATGACGAGGGAAGATCGAGGACAGTATTAGTACTCCATGAATAATAGTAGGACATAAATCATAGTAACTACTCTCCCGCAGCGCATCCACGGGTCGCCCGCACTTCCCCCGTATTTACTCCCTCCGTCGTCCACTGATCGCTATCTGATTACTGACTATTCCCACCTCCTAACGTCAGGCAACGTCTTTTCTCCTTCCCCCCTCTCTATTGCACGAATCTCGTTTGCTTTAGCCCTTCTCTCAGGTGCATCTTCGCCATGTACGAATCATATCGTCAGTCTGCCGTGTCTTCCTCTTTCATGACGCCATCCTAACCCTTCGTAGGCCCTCATCCTCTACTAGCGCAGGTCCCCTTGACCGTCTCGCCCTTCATCAACCTTCCCACCACCGTCACTCTCCCGTATACCTATAAGTCCGTCCCTTCTACCCTCCCTCCGTCAGTACTGGTCGATCCCGCCAATCCGGACGCAAAAACCCGCTACGTGGTCTCCGCCAGCGGCGAGCACGCCGCATCTCCGGATGAGATCCTCGCCTCCTGCAAGTCCCTCGAGCAACATCTCAACAAGACCCGCAGTGATGCGGACAAAGCCATCCGCGACTGGGAGGAGTCAATCTCCCAGCGTGAATTGGCCGAGAAGAGACGGGTTGCTCCCGGCTGGTTAGACCGAGACGAGAAGCTACTTCAGCCAAGTAAAATGTCGACTTCCCCGTCGCAGAGTCAACCGGAGCAACCGAGCCTGCTGGACAGCGTGTCAGCCGATCCCGCCGCCTCGGGGCTACCCTCAATGGTCCCGCGAGACGAGGGAGCGGAGTTGGACCGGGCCTTTGGAGGGTTGGATGTGAAATGAACTATTCTGGACATGCATGAATTTTCCGATATAATCCATATCCTCTTTTCATCTTCGTTCTGAGGAGGATTAAGCCTGCTCTTCTTGCAATGGAAGGTGATTGGTCATCACACGGCCTGTCTCGAGCTTCTCGCCAGGCCTAGCAAATCTGCAGCACCTGGATGGACCTGCGAGGGATCTGTCAAGTGCAGATTGCTGCAGCGGCCTGCGCTAGAATAGTACCATCCCGTGACGCTTCCTGAGGGCTAGCTTAGTCTGGTCTGGTAGTAGGCAATGTACTGGGCGAGCCTCGTGTTGTACAGCCTCGCAATGTTGAGCCGTTCTGAACACTCCCGGGCACTCTGATGACGACACCAAATAGCAGAAACGAGGAGACACAGCTACTACTTAAGCCTAATAAGATACGAACCCATGATCCTTAATAGATTCGGAATAGAATGCATATAACTTGTAACACCCAACTATTTTGAACCTTGAGCGCGTGGTGTCCAGGCAAAGCGGAAACCCCCGCAATGCTCCGTCCGACGTAAAGTTATCAGTAGCTTCCGCCAAAGCTTCTCCCGCAAAAATTATCACCTTTCCACCTCAACCACCACGAACCCATCCTTCAACCAACTCAACTACCCGCAAATATGGAACCCCTACGCACCGCGCCCGAAACCTCCTCCTTTGTTCCCCTCGCCGAACATCAATCCCGCACCCCTTCCTCCTTCCACTCCGGCCCCGCCGTCCTCCACTACCACAGCAAGCAATGCAAGCTGGTCGTTCTCGAAAATGATCTGGTCGCGTCCCCTGCTCTGAGTGCGATCCGAGGTCCCTCGGCCGAAGTGAACGACTCCAGCGACAATGCTTCTAACGGCGCGAACGGCGAAAGCGAGGGGAAAGAAATCGTCATGGACGGTGTAGACGTCTGGGTGACGTCCGAGTAAGTCTTCTCCCACCCTTCGAGGCCATCTGCGAGATGAAAGAAACTTATCTCTGTCTAGTAAATTCCTGCTGT